TATGCTGGTGACATGTGATTAGCTGAGAACCAGGGTGAAGAAAATATGGAAGAATGGTATGGGGAGCTAAAAGAAGCTATTCAAGAGAAGGTTTATATGTATAGATTTGCATAGATATCCATCGTGGTTTAATTTCAGTCAATGTTACCAAATTATGTGCCAGGGAGAAGAGCAGATTAGGATGTTCAGGTCTCTCAGCATTTGAAACGACTGTTAAGAGAAAGATGAGCCTAAAATCATCAAAGGGGAAGGCTAAGTTAATAAAGCCCAAATAAGTCAGTGTAAATGGTGCTGAGATATTTGAATGGTAACCATGTAACCAGTGGTTACATGAGGAAAAAAAAACAATGATTGTCAATTATTGCTGCGGATCCTTCCTGCGTGGTATATAGATAGATGCTTGATTTACTGCTTACAGTTCTGCTATTGGTCTGATGCAGCAACTCGGTTGATGGTCTTCCTACTAAATAATCCTCCCTTTTGGCTTTGCAAAGCCCATCCCTGCTTATCCTCCAGAACTCACACTACATTGCTTCCTTTCCAGCCTTCAAAATTAGGTCAAATCCTGTTATTGCAGTCTTTGAAAGCTCTGCAGTAATATCCATCTCCAAAATGTGTAAAAGCAATTGTAACGGATGGCTTCCTGAGATGAGGAAAGGCTGGGGAGAAATAAACAGGGGGTTGAGCCTATTTTGGGTGAGGAAAACAAGCAAAAATCCCTTTCCTGTAATGCAGATGAAAAGTAGTGCAGATGAAATTGTTGAATAGGATTGATGTGAAGCCCAGAGCACTATGCCGTGCTACACTGCCTTCCAGAAGAGCCCATCCTATGGCCCTGGGGCTGGAAACTCATGCTTTTTCCCAGTCTGCTCCTCCACGGCTACAAAGTTCTTCAGCTCTCTGGCTTTTAGCCATTTGGGAGTAGGTAAGATGAAGAATTCTAAACTCAGGAAGGAAAACGTTTCTCTGAGGGTTTACTCTTACCTTGTCTTTAAATCCCACCCTGAACTCTGCTGACAAACGCTCTCATCCTGTAGGCTTGCTGGGTGCTGGTATCTCCCAGACCCCAAAAATACCGCTTTCTAAGGCTAGGAAAGAAAATTACTCTGGGCTGTTCTGAAGCCATGGACTGTAACAACATTTGCTGATATCAGAAGACCCAGGAATAGAACTAGAGCTGACTCATTGCTCATTCGGCATTAATAACACAGAGAAACCAGAGCTTGTCTTTGAATGTGCTGTCACCAGAACAAGAAAAAAAAAGTTTGCTCTCCCCTCACGCTGAAGCCTGCCAGACTTTACACAGGTCCTGTGTGCCAGCTTTGAGGACACTGCGCCTCAGGAGCCCACACACACTGCACAAAGGACAGACGCCTTTCGAGTCCTCCTCTTAAGTGGACGGAACTGCTGGAAATCTTCCCAGACTGCTCATGCGTGCGGTACAAGAACAGCCTGACTAGTGACGCAGACTTGGAATGGCCCCTGGCTCATTTGACAAACATGATTCATTTTCCGTGCAGCCTGGTCCATATATCCTTTCTCGTGCTAAGCTAATTCCTCCATGCGCAGCACTCCACAGCCCTCTCTCTTTCCAACCCCAATTCCCATCACCCAAGCTTCGGCTTCTACTTCTACGACTTTGCACTCTGAACGACTGAAAGACGTAAACTGATGTCCTCCCTAGACGTCCTTGCACGGTACCTGTATGACTGAAGAACCCTCCTTATGTGACTCTTGGCCATAGTTGTCTGGCCAATCCTTTCAAAGGTGATATGCTTCGGGGGGGGGGGGATTTCTTAGTGGCAATAGCTCTCACTGCTCAAGCGCAGTTAATGGAATCCAGATCCCTGGAACTTTATATTAAGTTAGATATGGCTGTCCACGCTTAACAACTCTAGTGCTGTGGAGAGGATGGTTGGAAACAAAATAAAAGATCACTCGGCCTTATTGGAAAACTGTCTGTGCTCTAAAACATTCTAATAATTTGTTACATCTTAAGTGCTGGAAATTGTCGCATCCTGTGGACATATCCACCGACTTGTCAAACATGCATTTGGTGATTTTCAGCTTTTATGAATAGTGCAGTTGTGAACTTTTATGTATAAGTCTTTGAAGATATGGTGTAACGTGTTGTCTTCCCCGACAGCTGCCTGGGCCCTGCCGAGCTGTCTGAGACCCCAAATAAAACACAAGACACTATATTAATTATGAAGCTGTTGGCCATTTTCTATGGTTTCTTATCAGCAAAGGTCTGACTTGATTATTAATCCAGAATTACTCATATATATTTCATGAGAACTTATCTTTGCTAGGACGCACTCCTGCTGCGTCAGTTCCTCCCAGGAGTCACATGGCAACCAGTTTCTTCACTACATTTCCCAGAATCCTCGTAGACTCCCAATCTCACCTATCTTGCTTTCCTATTGGCCAACAGTGCTTTATTGACAGATACACAGGACTCTCCCATCAATGTGGACTTTCGAGAAATGTATTTGCTTAGTCTTAGTGGAGATAGATATAACATATTTTAGACATACAAACAAAGTCTTTGCAAAATGTTTTCTTAAACTTAACTAATTCTCAGTCCTACCTCCCTCTGTTACCTAAAATAATAATGACTCAAAAAACTATGAACACATTATATGTAAGAGACTATGAAGTCTGTAGGTACAATTACATACTGGTCTAACCTTATTCAAGGAGATTGTTTCAGATTATACAGCGAGGCTTGGTCTAGCACAGGTCTTTAAAAGAGACCTGTTTTGCCAATGTGATGTCACTGCCTTTGAAGATAAATAAGAGCTACCAAGGAATGAAAGTGGTCTCTAGGAATTGTAAAAAACGAAGAGACGGATTCTTCCATGGGGACTCAAAAAGGAACACAATCCAACCTGCACCTTGACATAAGCCCAATGAGGACTATCCTTAATTTCTAATATGTAGTGTATTACATGGTAGGTCTCATGCTTTAGGTCATGAATTTTGCAGCAATTGACGACACCATCCACAGAAAACCAGTTCAGGGCCCCATTTCCATGCAACCGAAACAAGGCAAAGGTGTTGTGGGAAGTAATCCAAGGAGAGACAAAGGGGCTAGATGGGGTTTCTAGCAGATGCTGCCACTTCTAAGAGCAAATGTCACTATTTCGGCCTTCGCCTAATTTCTGAAAACACCTTGTTACAGGCTATGACCAGAAGGCCCGCCAAGCATCTTTCTGGCCATCCCCACCTCAGAGAGAGACTGTTCTCCGAGGAAGAAGTCCTCCCTCCATTTTGTTTGGCAGTAGCCAGTAGAGAATGCATTGGCCTTTGCTACGGAGCTGCTGCCAAGGCAGGAAGGCTGTGACAGAGGGCAGGAGCAACTCCGCCAGTGGCAGGCAATTAGGATGTGATTAGCCATGGTAACTGTGAGTCTCAAAGGAAAACACACTCCCTTCCACTGCCCCCCTCACAAAAACGGAAAGGAAAGTCACCTTGTGTGCGAAAGCAGCACGCTATTGTACCAGGAGTATCCCCTCGATGTTCCTGTGGGAACCATTTAGCAAAACAACAGGTTAAAGGAGAAGATGAGCAGTCACAAAATGTACACAATGAGGATGGAGGCTCAGCAGATAAAAACTGGTATTTCCTTCAATTTAGGGCGTCAACCTTATGCAAAATATATTAGGTCGTCAGAACAAAACAAACAAACAAACAAACCCCCCGTAATACCGTTTTAAAAGCAAAACAGAAGAAGACTAGTGTGTCGAGAGACAGCAGGCACTCGTTTCAAAGCTTCTTCTTACGGGAGTACTGGGATCGCAGGCAACATGTCAGCAGAGCCAACCTGGCAGGGGACACCCAGTCACCTCATCCATGGCTTAAAGGGAACCAGACAAAGATAGCATAGGACACATGGGAACGAAACATGGCAAGGCACGAGGCGTCAGAGGAGGTTGATCGGGTGTGGTTTGGGTGTGGAAAAATGAGTCAGTGTGGGAGCAGTTCCTATAGGGAGAAACAGGAAGACCACGTTGCTTTCGAATCAGAGGATTTATTGTACACCCAACCTAAATGTGTAAGCAGACTCAGTGAAATACTCAAAAGCTGTGACCGAATTCCGGACCCACAGCAAGGTAAAGCTGGCCACTTCATAGCTTTAGGGACGCAATCACTCCTCTGAGGCTCCAGTTTCACATCTGTAAAATGAAGTCGCTAACAAATGCATCCCAGAACTAGGGAGAACTTTCGAAGAAACAATATGTGAATCATTTAACGCTGAATCCTCCCTGAAATAACACTTCAAAAGCACTGCCGTAGAAACAGCAGTGAGATGCCACTTTGAAAACCGTATGATTGGCAAAGCCTTAACCTCTTTAACTCATTTGATCATTTTGTCATCACCTTAACAAACCTCTGGAGTCAGTATTATCCGTATCCACACGGCTACAGGATGAGCCGTACCTTCCTGCCGAATCTACATGGGAAGTCTTAGGCTAATGCTTCATTCAGAATGCTACCTACTTGGAGACAGTATCTTCAAAGGTGTAATCAATAAAGTGAAGTCATAAAGGTGACACCCTAGCCTATGTGAAAAATGATCTGGACACGGATACAGGGAGGGGAGACCATGAGAAGGCACGGGGTGGGGTATGTCCATCCACAAACCAAGAAGAGAGGCCTCCAAGGAGACTGGCTTAGCTCACACCTCGATCTCAGCCCCCAGAACAGTGGGAAAATTAATCTCTGTCATCTAACACAGTCTGGAGCACTTTGTCAGGATAGTTCTAGCAGACTGGCAACACCCAGTTACAAAGAACTTGACCACACATTGCGTAGGTAAATTGCCTGAAGAATGGGGTTCAAGTTCAAGCATGTAAAAATCTGTGAGAGTCGTGGTCATCTTAAAGAATGCACGGCTTGACAAACAAGGATGTGTCAGAAAGGATACACAGAGACAAAAGGAAAATTGGAAAGGGCTGTGCTTTTCCCAGAACTGAACTGACCTGAGATGCACATACCTTGCTGAAGTTCTGTTAGGAGAACCATTGTGAGGAAAGCGGTGGGGACACCGGTCTGTGGGGCCTCCAGGAGTGGTCACCTGTGCCACCAGTGTCTCCAGCTCTTGATTTCTGCCTTCACCCGGGTTTTCTAGTGGGCGCTAGGCTTGGTTTCTGCACTTTCTAACACAGGCCTCATAGACATCAACAAAGCATCGGCCCGGAGAACCGAGCTCAGAAAGCAGTAAGAACGCTTTGCTGGGATGTTTTCAGACTATCAAATCAGACTGGACGGCCAGCTAATAGATACAGGACAAGAAGAAAACTTTATTCGTTGTTCCTCTAACAATAACATCTTTGGAAAACGATGCGCTGCATGAAAATTGTCTTCGTTAGGGTTTCTACTGCTGCGAAGAGACACCAGGACCGCAGCAGATCTCGCAAAGGGAAACGTTTCATTCTTGTGGCTCACTTACAGTTCAGAGGTTTAGTCCATTGTCATCCTGGCAGGAAGCAAGGCGGCAGCATGCAGGCAGATGCCGTGCTAGAGAAGGAGCTGAGGATTCGCGTGCAGGCATTCACGGTGCTAGAGAAGGAGCTGAGGGTTCTCACGTCTTGACTCACAGGCCACAGGAAGTGGTCTGAGACACTGGGCGTGGCCTGAGCATATATGAAACCTCAAAGCTTGTCCCTTTTACAGTGACATGTTTCCTCCAGTGAGGCCACACCTACTCCAACAAAGCCACACCTGTTGATAGTGCCACTCACAGACAGTGAGGTCTTGGAGTGAAGGCAGTGGTAAAGCGCTTACCTAGCATGCATGAGGCCCTGGGTTCAGTCTCTAGCATCACCATGACCCCAACAAAAAATAAATAAAAATAAAAAGAATTATTGCCCAGACTGTCTGATCTTCCAAGATTAAGGCGCTTAGATATCTCTGCCGGTTCATGAATGTAGTCACATCTTTCTGTCAACAAAGTACACACCCAAGGAGCACCATGCCCATCGCTGAACTCACAGAAGTCACCCACGTACAAGGACCTTCCCTCTTCTTAATTATTATCCTTCCCTTTGTTCTCCCCTCCCTAACCACGTTCTACTCCAGTTTGCTTGCCTTTGTGATCGTACCAATTTTTGTTGAGACAATACAAATTAAGATAGGGCATAAGCCAGGCATTGGTGGCGAGCGCCTTTAATCCCAGCACTCGGGAGGCAGAGGCAGGCGGATCTCTGTGAGTTTGAGGCCAGCTACAGAGCGAGGTCCAGGACAGCCTCCAAAGCCACGGGGAAACCCTGTCTCAAAAAACCAACCAAACAATAAAACAGCCTAGTACCACCTGACTGAAATTGTAGTAGGACAGCGTTCCTTTCTGAAGGGCTGAGGGGGTAATCTCTTTGCCTGGTTGTTCCTTTCTTTCTGTCCTCTTCAAAGTCAGCCACATTCCATCATTCTGACTCTCTCCTGTGTAACTATGGCTCCCGTGAAGCATGGCTAAGCGAGGCTTTATATTTTTAAGAACCGGTGTGATCATATTTGTACAGCCTGGATGAAAATTATATTCTCCCTATGCCAAGATCTGCTGATCAACAGCCTCGGTGACTTCGGCAACTTTAAAGTCCCCTTTACCTATTTAGTTAAGTATAATCATAGATTGTAATCTACGGTTTAAGCTTTAACTTGGTTCAGGTGATATTCACCGATATTCCACTAGAGGGCACTAACATATTCTGTAACATTTACATCACGTTTCAAATAACAATGTTAGAGTAAGCACGACAAGGTCGAACCGGTATGCACAATTTTTAAAACATGCACTTTTTTCCCCCCAAAATTTGGGTTCTCCAGAGTTGGTAGCAGATAACAGAGTGATACAAGGCAAAGTACACTTTCCAGAACTGAAACCACCTGAGCATCAGGTGAAACGGGACGGGACGAGAATTAACGGCAATTCTGTTAGTCCACACCGGGGCTCAAAGTCATATAAAAGGAAACAGGGCTGTGCTGCTGAAGCATAAGTCACGTGTTCTCACGTGAGGGTTTAAAGACGGCTCCCCACTGAAGATGAGATACAAGCATCATGTTTTGTGAAGACGCTCTTACCAGGAAAGGCAGAAGAGGGACGAGGCCTTGAGTTGTGCCCCGGAGGAGGAAGAAGATAGCAGATACAGCTGATAGCCTCCCGTGTCATCCTTTTTTGCAAATACATGTAACCTTACCCATTAGACATACTTTAATTTACTATCACTATGCTGCGACTTGGTGTGTTCTTGTGCGTATGTGTCTGTCCACCACACGGTTGCTCCTGGCGCCGATGGAGGGCATCAGTTCTGAGTTACTACACGGGTGCTGAGAATCAAACTCAAGTCTTCTTGGAAGCGCGCCCTTGACCGGCAGCTGAGAGCCTTTCCAGCTCCTATACTTTAATTCTCAAAGATTAAGGAGAGAAGCGAATTCTCGATGTGCTATGCGTCTCACAAGCCTCTTCCAGAGAAGGAAAGAGAATAAGAAAGGTGAGAAACGTAACATAATACATGTCAGGCTAGCAAGTGCTGGCTCTGGAAGCAACTGCCGTGCCTCATCTGCTGAAGAAAAAAGGAGAGGTGTTCTAAGATTTTGAATGGAGTGCACGATGGTGAAATAATCTGTGGTGTGGATTTGATGTTTTTTTTTTTACACCTTTGCATCTTTTAAAAGACAGTGTCTAAACACACACACACACACACACACACACACACACACACACACGCCAGAGGGTAGGCTGAGGAAGATGGGGAGATGCTTGGAGTCTTTTCCGCAGAGTAGACTTAGACTCTAAAAATAAAACGCAGTTTTGATAGTAGAGTCTAAGCTTTCTGTTCTCACATTTCTAGGTGATAGTCACACGATATTCCAGTTCAGATCGTGAGGATCTAAAATACGTAAATATTTGACAATTTTTACAAGAGTGTGCTAATACAAAAACACAGCTCATGCATACAGACACATGGGCTCAAAGAAACCCAAGAAATGAAATGGGCCACAAAGGCCGCTTTAGTGTCTGTGTTCACACCAAGCTGCTGCAGAAAGGGGGAGGAGTTTTCCTCTCTCAAGTGTTCTTGGCACCCATGAACTGAAAACGTGAGAGAAACATCGCAGAAATCAATGGTAGCCTCAAGGCTAGCAGAAAACTGGCTGAGGCAAGGGTTTTGCTATGATATGGACATGGTCACCAGTCTCCTAAGCTGTGTGGTCTTTTATCTCCTAGGAACAGGTGAGTCCTGGGAAACACACGAGTGACCCATAGCTACAGCTTGTAGACCAGGGCTCAGATCTTTTCCTGGAAGGTTACAGAATTTGATCTTTTCACCCAGATGGATGGCTGTCTCAACCTCTATGTTCTTCATTTATAGGCTCCGTGGAGGCCCAAGTCACCCAGACTCCAAGACACATCATCACAGAGCCTGGGAAGAAATTGATAATTACTTGCTCTCAGAATATGAATCATGACTCTATGTACTGGTATAGACAAGACTTAGGTCTGGGCCTAAAGCTTATTTATTACTCAGTTAATATTGACATTACTGATAAGGGAGAGGTCTCTGATGGGTACAGTGTATCTCGAAAAGAAAAAAAAGCCTTTCCTCTGACACTGGAATCTACCAGAATCAACCAGACCTCCCTGTACCTCTGTGCCAGCAGCGAACACAGCCCTGCATAGCCAGCTGCTCCCTGCACAAAAAAAGGACAGCCACATGGGCAAGAAGCCTCTTCCCTCAGGAGGTCCCACTCTAACCAAGAGAAAGTAACACCTTTTCCCAATGCCAACAGCCATGGAAGCCCTCCGTGGATGCCCAGACTCAGAACCTCTCGGCAGTGCACTTCACTCAGTGAGTGACTCCCCCGATCCAGTACTCAACTTCTTATGCCACAGAGCCCTCAAAACTCAGATGGAACAAGCTCCTTGTGTTAGGTCCTGAGTACCTAGGCATCACAAAGTCCCTTTCTCCACACTGAGCTTAACATCTCCAGGGTGCTGCCCAAGGCTAACACTCCTAACCAATTTGAGTCTTTTCATATTACTGGCTTTGTTATTTATTTGTTTTTTGTCAGTTGTTTTTGTGTGATCAGGAATGACATATTCTGCATTGCTTACCAAATCAAACTTTGTCACTCACCGATGTGCAGGTTCACAATGTAGGAGTGAGTATTCACGGCCCCTACACGTCCTTCTACACCAAATGCATACTCGTGTTTTGCACTTATCCAAGTATTAAGTTTGTTGCAATTTTTTTTACTAATTTTCTCCATCTTTGCCATTAATATATAATCTCTCACCTGAATTCCTCTTACCACCATCCAGCCAGCTACCCTGAGTGCCTGATTCCCAGATGTTCCTGCCCGCAGTTCTCACTTGAACTGAAAAACATTCAGTTTCTTTAATTTAGTGCATGGTGTCCACTGTTTTGTGTACTTGTAAGTCTCCGGTACCTTCGTACAGTTAGGTACTGCTCCACCTTTCTGATTATAGACTTCTACTTTCCTTTAGCGACTCTGACTCCCCGCCTTCTCATCCAGAAGTTTTCCAAAGTGTTCCCTACAGCTAACCCATTCTTCAGCTGTGATGTCCCTCCACCAGATCACCTCTCTAAGTAATGATTAGACCCCTTTTCACATCCTGGTAAGTCGAGTGCTCTCACAACGGCATGTTACAGCCTGAGAAGAGCTAACAGAAATGCCCCGACCCCATCCAGAGATTATCCACCATGACCATGGGGTTCTCTGTTGTGTGGCTCTTTGTCTTATTAAAATAGGTAAGTCAGAGGCATAAGTATGGTGCTGAACTTGGTATGCCAGACCCTACAGTTACTAGTTAATATGGAGATATCTTGCTACCCTCCCTAAATTATCTGCGTTTTGCCCATAATATCTATGTGTCACCGTTTCACCGGGACACCTATAGATATCATCACCAGGACAGAAGATAAGTTCGTGATGTAATGAGCACATGTACCTTGGCCTCTGCGTGCAGATCTTGCTACGGGACAGTATTTGACCGCCTATTCACTTGGTTCCTGGAGTGCTGAGTAAAGGCAGCTCTTTAAGAGACAGGGTGTTTGTTTAAACAAGACTAAGGTATTTCTCCCACACTATAAATATGCATACCCTCTGCCTTCCTCCATCAGTTAGACCACAACGCTGAAAGCCACAATCCTCCGTGCACAAATATGATTGCCACAAAGGTAAGAGGTGACCCTTACTTCCTGAGTCCCGCCCTTACTTGGGGAAAAAACTGTTCCCACAGAAAAGAAGTTCTTAGAAGCATTCCTCATCTCCCCACAGAGGAACATATCTGAAGTCCCAGGTGCCCTGGTGGGAGGGAGTCACAACTGAACACTCTGACTTACAATCTGAGTGCTTCTCAGCCTTCCTACTGCTGCGGCCCCTTTATTGCAAGTTCTTCATGCTGTGGTGACCCCCAACCTTAAAAATATCTCGTTGCTATTTCATAACTGTAACTTTGCTACTGTTATGAATTGTAATGTAAATATCTGGCACGCAGGATCACTGATACGTGACCCCCGTGGGGGTGGCTGTCCGTTGATTGAGAACCACTGGAACTGTCAGGGTTTTCTTTCCAATTCTCTGCTGTTTTTTTAACGGGGACTCTTCGGTCCAGACCCTGCAACACAACCAGCCTTATTCTATCCAGTATGCTTCCCCTCCCCCACCCCCAGGAACGGCCTCCACGCTACACAGTGGCCCTCCGAGACTGACCAAAGCTTTCCTTTCATTTATCACTGTGTGTCAGAGATCATGTACATGTCAGTGTCACCCCGCTCACTTTAACCGTGTCATACCACTCTGCACATCTGCAGACTCTGTTCGCAATCGCACATATGTTGCATAGAGTCATCCGTCACCGACATTGTTAGGAATTTCTGGCACGTGACAGAAACAGAAGAATTTTAAGGATGTTTTCCACGCTATACTGCTTGCCCACAAACTCACCGTTGGTGCACCATGGTCCCTACCAGCCCTTTTGGTAAGCTTCTAAATGATATTTACTCCGTTGCTGTCATTACCATCAGATGCTTTATGAGGAGAACTAGTCTACTGCCTGTTGAAAACATCAACTACAGTTCCCCCCACCCATGGATAGAAAACAGCAACAGTTAGAAGTATCTAAAAACAAAGACTGTCAGCAGACTAAATTAGGCTAATCTCAGACATACACAAGGCATAGAAGTGCCCGCGCAGGGAGAGATACACACGTACACTTCCGTTGGCACACTCTTTCCTCTCTGACACCTCCAGATGTTGAAGGCTAGATGAAGGAGGTGAGCTCATGGGTGTGGTCAAGAACAATGACATCACAGGCAGGCAGGCTAGGGTGGCAAGAAGGCCCGTGCTCTCTTCAGAAACTGCCATGAGAGTCAGACTCATCTCCGCCGTGGTGCTATGGTTCCTGGGAACAGGTGAGTGCTGGAAACTGGTATGTCAAGGCACCGAGTGCAAACCATATGCTGTCACTTCTAGGCTGTGCGTACCAAATTTTATCCAGTATCGCGCCGACCGATAGCCTCGTTTTCACTTCTCCTTCACTAACAGACCCTGTGGACATGGAAGTAACCCAGATGCCAAGATACGTGGTCAAAAGAATGGGAGAAGAAGTTTCGCTGGAATGTGTGCAGGATGTGGGCCATGAAAGGATGTACTGGTACCGACAAGACCCGGGTCTGGGGTTACGACTGATTTACTTATCGTACGATGTTGACAGTAACAGTGAAGGAGACATCCCCAAAGGATACGTGGTTTCCCGGAAGAGGCGGGAGCGTTTCTCCCTGATCCTGGAGTCTGCTAAAACCAACCAGACATCTGTGCACATCTGCGCCAGCAGTCTCTCCACAGCTCTCCACAGCCGCATCCTCTTCACACAAAAAGAGCCTCTTTTGTGGGGAGGAGGTGTTTCTACCTCGTCGCCGAAGCTGTCTCTCACATCACATAGTGCCGGTCAGAAAGCGGCGACCACTGAAGAGGAACATCGATCCGTTCCTATCTTAGCAAAAAAACAATAAAATAAAATAAAAGCAGGTGATATTCTCACCCCTTCATAATTCGGAAGACAATGTGAGCTTAGCCCACCCTGGAGGATGAGCTGTCCCTGAGCTAAATGCATGAGACTTGACGCCCTATCAGATGTCATCTTTCATACTTACACTAAAGCTCTGTTTCACGTTTCAAATAATTCCATCCTTCGATTTTAAGCCCTGATCCCCTTTTCCATAGACTTCGGTTTTCTTTGTTCTTTGTGGTTTATCACCAGAGGGCGCTGACACATCCCTGCTCTTGAGACAGACTTCACCGGCTGTCTAAATCAAAAGGTTTATAAAGTTTGAGTTTTACTTATTCCGCTTAAAAAACCAAACCAGTCTGATTGATTCAGATTCTCTTACCAGTAGTGCTTCATTGGAGAGTCTCTAATCAAAGCAAGAGTCAACCCTGGTGCAGGTGGTCAGGCTGCCACCATTCTCGCGACCCCCTGGATAATGTGTTTCTTTTGGGAGAACGAAACACAAAATATTAGCTGGGTCTCTAATTACAAGATTTTTTTTAACCACTGAGACAAAACAAACCTGAAACAGCATACTTGAAATTTTAAATTTCATTTATTTATTTTGCAGTTTGCCCCCTGAATCTCGTGTCCTGTGGTAACTGCCACGTGCTTCCTCCTCCTTGCCCACATATTGCAGCCCAAACAGAGAGAAAGGGCACTTGAATGAGATGAAAATATGCAGAGATGAAACGGCATACATGGGACGAAAATATTGTTGAAATAGGAGGTTTGAATCTGTGCATAAATTGAAAATCATCGTCACCATCATCATCATAATCATCATCATCATCTTCTTCTTCTTTTTCTTCTTCCTCTTCCTCCTCCTCCTCTTCTTTCTTCTTCTTCTTTGGTTTGTCGAGACAGGGTTTCTCTGTGTAGCTTTGGAGTCTGTCCTGGAACCAGCTCTGTAAACCAGGCTGGCTTCAAACTCACAGAGATCCACCTGAGTGCTGGGTTTAATGCGCCAACCAATGCCCGGCTGAAATATAGCTTCTTAAAGGCACGTAAAATCTCACTAATCCTCTGAAACTACTGTCTATTATTTCAACATATATACATCCTTTTGAAATGGAAGACTTTCTAGAAAAAAAAAAGGCTGCTCTAAATCTGCCCATGAAAACACAGGTTTTTAATTATAAAATTGGAACGACCTAACAGAGAATTATCCAAAACCAAATGGAAGTTTCAAGTGGAGGGGTGGATTTGACAATAACGCATTATATGTTTGCATGATAGTCTCAACTAATAAAAAGTATTTTATTTTTATTGAGAAAAATTTCATACGGAATATTCTGGTAATGCTTTCCTCTTCCCCAGTTTCTTTCAGATTCCTCTCACCTCTCCACCCATCCAACTTCTGCTATACCCATAGGTCAGTGTCTCCCTTAGCCTTAATCAAAGAAGCTTCCTCTTGCAGTAGATGGGACTAACGCAGAGACCCACAGCTGGTCAGCGTGCAGAGAGTGAGAGATTTTACAATTCTCAGTGCTAAATGAGATGTCTTCACCAAACCCCTCCCCTCGGGGCTCAGGGAGTTTCACAAAAGAGGAGGCAGAAAGATTGCAAGAGCCAGAGAGGATAGATGACTCCAAAGAAACAGAAAAAAAATGATGTCTAAACATGGACACTTCCAAAGCATTCTTTGCTGAAACACAGTGGGGCAGAGCCTTTACTGCAGGGAACAGGGACAGTGGGAGCGGGACATAGTTGTTTCTTCTCTATAAATAGTCCAGGCAATATAACACAATGACCCTGACACATAGACACTGTTTTCTTACAATTAAAGACAACTGGACCTGGATTAAAATAACATGCTCCTGGCCACACAGCTTGTGAACCTGGTCACTACGCTTTAAACTGTCCTTTCTGGAGTTCTGTTTGTGATTTGTTGGCTCTTAGAAGAGTCACTGCACAGCACCCCACTAGCCTTAATCTTTTAAACGCCTGCCCGGTAACTGTTAGACTCTTTTGCTCTGGTTCCTTTCTGTACGTGGTGCTTCTAAAGAGTCTAGATTCTTTCAGCAGGATCGCTTTCCCACTGTCAGTCTAGGGGTTTGCAAGGTGATGAAACTTTGTTTCGTTTAGTGGATACACAGCCTGTATTTTGGCAACATTTGTGTTTCTGGAAACTTCTGCTCCAATCTGGACTGATTGCTCATGAGTTCTATTGTCCAGTTGTCACCCTGAGATTTTTGGGGGGGGTTGAAACAGGATTTCTCTGTATTGTTTTGGAGGCTGTCCTGGAACTAGCTCTGTAGACCAGGCTGGCCTCGAGCTCACAGAGCCTGCCTCTGCCTCCCGTGTATTGGGATTAAAGGTGCATGCCACTAACTCCTGGCTCCCACCCTGAGATTTTTTATTTGTTAGTCTGAATTAGATTCTCCACTTTTCAGATTCCATGATCTCTCTTCCTTTTGGTTCACTGTATCCATCTGCTAGGGAAACATTATCCAGCAATGTCCTAAGAGAAATGAAATAAAAGTGAACATTTTGTACTTACATAAATTAAAATGTCTTTTTATATCTTTCATATCTTGGGTTAGTAGGGAAATCTGTGTTGAAAATTACATTCTATCTGAATTTTATAGACTTTTCTGTTTTATAATTTCCTGTTATCAAGAAATTTATGACTGCTGGAGGGGGAAGAGTCACTTTTCTTTAGGGGTGTGCATATTACAAAACGAAGAGCACATGAAATTTGGGAAGTAAAAATGGTACGTGGGGAGGATGGGAGTAATTGTGGAGGCAGGAATGAGGGGAGTGACTCGATCCAAATGTATTATATGCATGTTTAACATTTTCCATCAATAAAATAATCTAATGTTAGTTGCCTTTTCAATAGTGTTAATTTTTAATTTATAGTTTAATTCATAAGTTTTCTTATACTAAGAATTTTTAATTCTCAGAATTTTGAAATTCTGTGAAGATAAACTTTGGATTCATTTGCTATATGTCCATTAAACATAGGTGAACACATGTTTGATGTACACACACACACACACACACATACACACACACAGGCATGCACAGCATATATACAGACACTTGAATATAAATGGTGAGAATGTCCCAAATAAATGGTGAGAGAATAAAAGAGAAAGTGAGAGCATAATTTTATAACACAATCTTAGAACCAGAGGACTAAGATGGGTTAGTTTTGCAAGACTATCTTCCTGGATTCTATATTTGTTTTAGGAACTCAGACTTTCAATTCTCAATTGCCAGTTAGAAAAAAACAATAAACTAAAAAAGTGAGGCAATGTTTGGTAGCTCTGATGCTAATCCATGGTTCTGGGATTACAAAGAAATGAATTTGAGTCCTAAATTTGTCATGTCTTTTAGAACCTGTAAATTTGTGTAAGTTAAGTTCTCTAGGTCTTGTATATAAAAATTTCCAATTTGTAAACTTCAAAGACAGTTGTGTCCAAATAATGCAGCCTGGGGCTGCAGAGATGGCTCAGAGTTTCAGAGCATTTGTTGCTCTGAAGAGCACCCAGGTTTGGCTCCTACCGCACGCATTATGGCTCACAACTATCTGCAACTCCAGTTTAAGAGGCTTTCTTCTGAACTTCAAGGGCCCCAGAACATTCATATACATAAAATATGTAATTCTAATTTTTAAAAAATAGTTCAATTCATAATAAAAAGAAATAGCTCTGATTCATTAAGGACAGTGTTGCCTCTTGTTTGTGTTCTGTACTCAAGAAGCAGCACAAATGTGCTATCAATAATGATGAATAAATGAATGTTGTACAGATGGCAAGTGTATTCTGGGATGCCTTTAGAATGAAAGACTCACCCTAAGTGAACAGCTACATAGTTCCCCTAGGGGGCGATGTATTTTTTTTGTATGTCTAGCAAAAAGCCAACTTCCTACCAAAAGAAATTAACAGAATGAATAAGGAAGCGATTCCACTGTAGAGAGGAAAGATGAGTGTGAGCTTGATGTTTTAGTACCCTTTCTCAGGAAAGAGAATATTGCTTAAGGATGTGGACTCTCCTGCTACTTCTCCTGGGCCAAGGTAGGAGTTTTGTCCTGAGCAGAACCTGGGGTCAGTGTTAATGCTGAGTTGAGGCATGGGGGACACGTTCTACCCCCAAAGCAGAATATACAAGCCAGAGGATGAAGAAGACGTCTTAGATTAGAGGATTCTGTCAGAAAGTGTTGGTAAAAGGGAGGAGCGTGCTACATGATTTGGGAAGTCTGGTGGTGCCACAGTAAGTAAAGCAGGAACCTTTGTCTTCAGACATGTCTGACTCGAAACTTGTTCACTCTCATGGATCTCTGTCTCTGTTAAACCAGGCTCTGTCTTCAGTGTCCTCCTCTACCAAAAGCCAAAACGGGACATCTGTCAAAGTGGAACCTCACTGAAAATCCAGTGCGTGGTTGACACTCAAGTTGCTGGCATGTTCTGGTACAGACAGTTCCAGGGACAGAGCTTGGTGCTCATGGCAGCTGCAAATCAAGGCTCAGACGCCACATATGAGAGAGGATTCACCAAGGAGAAGTTTCCCATCAGTCGCCCAAACCTAACATTCTCAACTTTGACAGTGAACAATGCAGGACCTGAAGACAGCAGCTTCTACTTCTGCAGTTCTGGAGACACAGTGCTGGTTGCAAATGGGAGATCTCAGCAAGAACCGTCCCCTCTCCCCACCCAGCTCTCCCCAGATGAGCCTAAGGGCCCCGTCAATGTACTCAGTATGAAAACCACAGCTTCTGAGTGACAGCTGTTCATGTGTCTGTGGCCACCATGGACGGGAATAATGATGAAGACAGAGAGAGAATCTCTAGTACTTACTAGAGAACTCATGAGAAACTCGGGGCAAATTTTCACCCAGAAACCTGCTTACAAATACCCTGTTAACACAGATGCAATCTGTCTGCAAGTAGCAAAGTAAAAAAGAAAACTTCTGTGTTTTATCTCACGTTGTTGGCTATAGTGCTGGTCTACTATATTAATGCTTGCTG